CATCCCTCTCCCAGCTCATCCCTCTCCCAGCTCATCCCTCTCCCAGCCTGGCAGCTCCCACAGCCCCCGGAGCAGCCCTGTCGGTGCCCAGCCAGGTTGCCATGGCACCAGGATGTACCTTTTCCCTGGCACTGCCATTATCCATGGTTTTTTCCCACCCCCGGTGCTCTTCCCTGCCTGGAAGCTCCCGGGGGGAAGGAATTCCAGGGCTGGGAGCCCAGCAGGGCTCCAGCTCCCGGGGCCTGAGCTCGGCGTGGGATCTCTGGGATCTCTGCCACATTTAGGGGGGTTTTTTTCCCCCCCTCAAATCACTGATTCATCTTCTCAGCCTTAATTGCATCATAACCCAGTTTTTTTGGCCGGGAATCTGTTCCAGGAGGGAATAGGAAGGGGCTGGAGGGGCTGGAGGGGCTGGAGGGGCTGGCACAGGCCCAGAGGTGCCGGTGCCAGCGGGAAGTGGCTCCCAAAGTGTCTCCCTGCGAAGGGACCTCGTTGTCCAGAGCCAGGAAACCCCCCCAGGGATGGTCCCGCTCCTCTGGGATCCCTCTGGATCCTTCTGGAACAGCTCAGCCTCCAACACATCCGTGATGTCCATGATGTCCATGATGCTCCAGCTTGGAGCAGCCTGGGCTGGTGGAAGGTGTCCCTGCCCACGAGATGAGCCTTCGGGTGCCTTCCGACCCCAAATTTAGGATTTCAAGCCCGATTTTGGGATTCTGAGGCTCCGGAAATCAGGGAGCCACGGCCACGGCTTTTCCTTGGAATTCCGGCAGGAGCAGTGGGAGAAGGGTCAGGGAGTTTGGACTCCAGGGAAGAGCTGGGGCCTGATTTTGCTTCAGAACACCCAGAAATCACCAGCAAGGCAAAGCTGGCAGGTCCAGGAGGGTCCTGGCAGGTCCAAGGGGGTCCTGACAGGTTCAAGAGGGTTCTGGAAGGTCCAGATGGGTCCTGGCAGGTCCAGGTAGGTCCTGTCAGGTCCAAGGGGGTCCTGACAGGTTCAGGAGGGTCCTGGCTGGCACAGGCGGGTCCTGGCAGGCCCAGGTGGGTCATAGTTGGCACAGGTAGGTCCTGTCAGGTCCAGAAAGGTCCTGACTGGTTCAGAAGGGTCCTGGCTGGCACAGGTGGGTTCTGACAGGTCTAGGTGGGTCTTGGCAGGCCCAGGTGGGTCCTGGCAGGTTCAGGAGGGTAATGTCAGGTCCATGTACGTCCTGACAGGCCCAGATGGGTTCTAGCTGGCATAGGTAGGTCCTGGCAGGTTCAGGTGGGTCCTGGCAGGTCCAGGTAGTCCTGACAGGCACAGGTAGGTCCTGACAGGCCCAGGTGGGTCCTGGCTGGCACAGGTAGGTCCTGGCAGGCCAAGGTGCCCTGGTTTGCCGGGTGTCCAAGCTCACCCGAGCTGCCCTGGGCAGCTGAGCAGGACAGGCTGGAGGTGCCAGTTTGGAAGGAGAGGCAGGGCCAGGCCCGGGGCCAGCGGGAACAGCTCGGCTCAGCTGAGCATCACCCTGAGCTCTGCCACAGCTCCAGCAGCAGCACTGCAAAAACCTCCTGGAAAAGAGAGTCTGCCTTGGAAAAGCGGTGCTGGAAGGCTGGAATCTCCAGCTGGGCTGTGTGGGGGCAGGAGACGCGGTTGCAGGAAAAAACAGATATTTATCTGTCATATTTGTCTGTTATTATTTCTCTCTGCCCATCTTTGTGCAGAACAGACAAATATTGTGTCTGAAACGAGGCAAGAACAACAGCCACGAGCACAAGAGCCACCCCGGTGACTCCAGACCCCGCAGGGAGCAGCTCCAGCAGCTTTCCAGGTGCCTAAAATAAGCTGGGAATGGAGCAGACACGCGGGTGAGGGAAGAGGAGACTCTGCAGTGTGTCGGTGCCAGGAGAGCTGAGAGAGCTCTGCCACCAAAGTACCAGGGAAAGGAAAGAAAATCCCAATTAATCACAGAATCAGCTGGGTTGGAAGGGACCTCTAAGATCATCAATCCAACCCTTGATCCAACCCCGCCGTGGTTCCCAGCCCATGGCACTGATGCCACATCCAGTCTCATCTTAAAAACCTCCAGGGATGGAGAATCCACCCCTTCCCTGGGCAGCCCATTCCAATGGCTGAGCACCCTCTCTGCAAAGAAATTCTTCCTGATATCCAACCTAAACCTCCCCTGGCACAGCTGAAGACCCTGAGCCCTCTTGTCTTGCTGAGAGTTGCCTGGGAAAAGAGACCAACCCCCCCCTGGCTCCCCCCTCCTGTCAGGGAGTTGCAGAGAGTGAGGAGGTCTCCCCTGAGCCTCCTCTTCTCCAGGCTGAGCCCCCCCAGCTCCCTCAGCCTCTCCTCACAGCACTTGTGCTCCAGTCCCTTCCCCAGCCTCGTTGCTCTCCTCTGGACCTGCTCCAGCACCTCAATATCCTTCCTGAGCTGAGGGCCCAGAACTGGACACAGCACTCCAGGGGTGGCCTCACCAGTGCTGAGTCCAGGGCAAGAATCACTTCCCTGGACCTGTTGGCCACACTGTTCCTGAGCCAGGCCAGGATCCATTGGCCTTCTTGGCCACCTGGGCACACTCTGGCTCCTGTTCAGCTCCCTGTCATTTCCCAGGAGCTCAGTGACGGGAGGAACCTGTGCCGGGGCTGGGGGTGATGGTTTGGAGGGAACAGGATGAGCTGTCAGGCACAGAGGAGGGTGGGAGGGGGGCTGAGGGAAGGGGAGGTGTGGATTTGTTCCCGCTGGAGCTGCCGGCAGCACATTCCCGAAGCCTGGATGTGTTTGGGGTCTGTCAGTGCCTGGGAACGGCCAGGGAAGAAGCCAAGAGCTGGAAAAATGAATGGAAAAGGCAGTTTGAGAGGGATCATTGGGGTTGTGGGAGACTTGGACAGCACAGGGATCACAGGGATCACGGGGGCACCGAGGAGCCCGAGACGGGAAAAAGAGGGAGCTGAAAAGAGGGAATCTTAAGGAATCTAAAAAGAGGAGATCTTAAAAGAAGGAATTTAAAAAGAAGGAATCTAAAAAGAGGGGATCTTAAAAGAAGGAATCTACACAGAGAGGATCTAAAAAGAGGGGATCTTGAAGGAATCTAAAAAGAAGGAATCTTAAAAGAAGAATCTGAAAACAGGGGATCTTAAAAGAAGGAATCTAAAAAGAAGGGATCTAAAAAGAGGGGATCTTAAGGAATCTAAAGAGAGGAAATCTAAAAAGAGGGAATCTTATATACAAATATATAAATAAATATATATAATACAGGCACAAATAAACATATAATAAATATAAATAATAATATATAATGTATAAATATATAAATATATAAATATATAAATATATAAATATATAAATATATAAATATATAACATATACAAATAAATATATATAATACAGGCACAAATAAATATAATAAATATATAATATATTATATATAGATATATAAATATACATATAAATATATAATATATATAATTTTTATATATAAATATATAAAGAAATATATATGATACAGGCACAAATAAATATATATAATAGATACATATAATAAACATATATCATAATATATAAATATATAAATAAATATATGTAATACAAGCACAGTCCCTTATCCAAACACCCAAATGCACCCTCTCAACCCCCCTGTATGTGTCCCAAACACCCCCCAAACCCTCACTGCCAACCACATCCACCATCCAAGGCCAAAAAAGCCTGGAAGAGGGAGGCAGGGAACACAACCAGGCATTCTCCTCTCTCTTTATTTGCCTTTAATTTGCTTTTTTTCCTGGGGTTTTATTACCCATTAAAAGAAGGTGGGGCACGGACCTTCCCTCAGCACAAACCCGGGGAGAATTTTCCGAGAAATCCGCCTAAAAAAAACCCACTCTGAATGTTTGTGCTTTGTGCAAAAACCACCCAGAAATGCTGAGTAATCCTGCCGGGCTGCTAAGTAACCATTATTTTTAATTACCAATTAAAGGACGCGGTAATTTCTCGCATTCAGCCGCTAATGGAACTACAAACAACTCGACGCAAATCAGGTCTTTAGCATTTAATTAGCGGGCTCTGCCATGAATTATGGAACAAGTGGGCAAATGAGCTGCTCCAAAGAAACCCGTCGCTGCAAATTAAAGGGATTTGGGGAATTGTCGCTTTTGTCTGGGTTTGCCGCGGTGCCGCCACGGCACACGGAGAGTCACCGGGGTGTTTTTGGGGATGAGGGAGCTGAATTCCCCGAAAATAGAAGAAAATAAACACGCAAGAGTTGGGGTGTCCAGCCCAGCCTGGCACGGAATTATGGAATGGTTTGGGTTGGGAGGGATCTTAAAGCCCATCCAGTGCCACCCCCTGCCATGGGCTGGGACACTTCCCACTGTCCCAGGATGCTCCAACCCGGCCTTGGACACTTCCAGGGATGGGGCAGCCACAGCTTCTCTGGGAA